GCGTTTGTGTTAATTATTTCTTTGTTCCTCTCTCTCTCGCTTCCCTTTCTTCTCCGACCACGATCTCACACTTAGTGCATAACGTGATACTTTGTATGATATTGTTTTCTGATTCCTGTGTTCTGTGATGCTTAGCATCTTTGCTTTTTACGTTACAGCACATTAGCTGAAGTGTGTTTCTCACCCTCAGCTAACGTGTATTTATGATGATGATTCCAATGTGTGGATAAATCCAGTGAGAAAGGATCTTGTTATTTCCTCGACGAAATAACTAACTAGAGGCCGCTATTTATGATGATGATAATGATGATGATGACGATGATGATGATGATGATGATGAAGCAGCGAGTAGACCATACTCTGTGTAGCTGCATCAATTTTCGCTCTTGGGCATTAACGTACTAATTATCTTTCCGCTCTGTATATTTTGACTCTGCAAAGTGTTTGTCTAGAAGCTTCTTAAATTCGGCCACTGCATTCGCCTCTATTATCGGCTGCGGCAGGTTGTTCCAGGTATTCACCACTCTACGTTCGAAACAGAGTTGGTGAGCGACCCGCTTCAACTGCTGTACGATAAGTTTGTACCGGTGTCCTCGGGTGCTGCTTGGTGTGCGCAGATAAAGCAGTTGTCTCAACATGGGGTAATCACTCATGATTAGGTCAACCCTCAGCCGACGATATGCTAGGGTGTACAGCCCTAGTTTCTTACATCGGTCTTCATATGGCATACCTCGTAAGTTGGGAATCAGCCTGGTGGCTACATGCTGCACCCGCTCAAGCTTTTCTCCCTCACCCAGCGTGATGGGACAATACGCGGGAGAGCCGTACTCTATCATTGGTCGTATTATCGGGACGAAGCGACGAGTGGCAATCTCTTCAGACCAAGTGCTGAACCTGCGCCTGAGCGCCCAAAGCATCCGAAGGCTGTTTTAGTACAGCCTATTCGTGTTGTCAATGGACTTTAGGTCGCAGCGTGAGAGCACACCGAGGTCGCGCACGAAAGACGCAGGATGCAGCGGTTGACCAGCCACTGTGTACGTTCGGCTGTGCTCACACTTACCCAACCTCATGAATTGCGACTTAGTAGGGTTGATCGGAAGGTTAACCTCTGCAGACCATGTTGAGAGGCTGTCGAGATCCTGCTGAAGTAAATCATAATCATTGAGTGTGCGGATTACTCTCCACACCTTCAAATCATCTGCGAACAACGCACATGGTGATTGGAGTATCTTAGGCACATCGTTTATATGGATCAGAAACAATATCGGCCCCAGTACAGTGCCTTGGGGCACGCCGCTGCTCGATGGATACCAGTCCGTTAGATGGTTGTCTACCTGGACTCTCCACTTCCGATCCACAAGGAAATTTCTGATCCATTTGTGTAGCGAACCACCAACACCGCACATCCTCAGCCTGTCAAGGAGCACTGCATGGTTGACCTTGTCAAAAGCCTTACTGAAGTCAATGTAAATGACATCGACTGAATGGCCTTGGTTCATCGCTTGTAACCACTCGTGCCTCGTCAACAGTAGGTTGGTGATGCACGAGCGACCTTTCATGAAACCATGCTGTGCGGAGGTCAACAGGTTTTTCAACTCGAGAAGCTGCAGAAGGTTCTTCTTCACAATCTTCTCCAGCGTCTTTGCCAAAACTGCCGTCAGGCAGATCGGCCGGTAGTTATCCACTTTACTTGGGTTACCACCTTTCGGTATAGACTTTACGACTGAGCATTTCCAGTCGTCTGGTAACAGTCCAGTGGATAGTGACCTGTTAAACAGTTCAGTTACAGAGGGCGCGATGATGGCCGATAGGGACTTGAGGATCAGTGGGTGTATACCATCTGGCCCAGCAGGCTTCGTCCCGTCAAGATTTGCTAGAAGCTTGCGCACATCCTCAATATTGCAGTCCAGGCTGTTAAGTTCGGCTGGTGCGGTACTCGTCGAACTCGTTACAGACACCTGGTCACTTGCAAATACGGAGGCGAAGTGCATCGCCAATGCGGACGCACGATCTGTACTCGAGGTTAGGGGCTGTCCATCGGAGCCTTCTAACACTGGGACATTGGCTACAGGCCTCAGGCGCCGCTTCACGTATGCAAAGATCCTCTTGGGAGCAGTTTTTGCGGCGGTTGCGAGCTCATTCTCGAAGCTTCTGCGTTTTCTTGTTTTCGCGTCGTTGCAGCGATTTCGCTGTACCTTATACCATTGTAGTCCTCATCAGAGCCAGATAACACGAACTTGTTCCATAGTCTACGTCGCCGTCGGGCCAGTTTGTTGTACTCTTTGTCGAACCAATGTGGTTTGACTGGCCTAACTTTTCGAAATTTGAGGGGTACAAATCGGGTGCACAACGATTTCACTCCCTCTTTAATGATGGTCCAACAGGTTTCAATAGATGAATCCTGTGGTAAAGACCAGTCCGTCTGGCTCGCTGCTCGAATGAGGCCATTAAACTCCGCCTTCCAATAGTTGAAGGTTGGCTCCAGTGGGGGAGAATACGGCAGTGGTATTTCCATGCTGCCTATGATCATCGAGTGGTCGCTCGCTCCCAGAGGCTCTAAGACTTGAATGTTATGCACACGCTGCTCACAGCTAGTCAAAAGTAGGTCTAAGCATGATGGAGCTGCGCGCGCAGTAATGCGTGTCGGTTGGTTGATGTGCTGTGTGGTCCCAGTTTCAAATAGCAACTCCCTAAATTTCCTCTCGACTTCACAGTGGCCCGGGAGAAGTTCAGCTTCAGGCCACTGTATTCGGGGCAAGTTAAAATCACCCATGAGTAGGAACATCTGACGACTCATGTGGTTGCGGACATGCGGCGACCAGTCCAAACTGCGGCTCAGTGGGCTGCGATTTACCACGCCCACGAGTAACTCGCAGCGTCTGAGGTGAATCGAACACCGTAACTGCTCACATAGACCATCAGCGCTTTGGTAGGCGCTCACTAGTCTCCCACACAAGGAAGACTTTATGTAAAGTAGAACGCCACCGCGATCATTTGATGGTCTATCACAGCGGAAGCATGAGTAGACAGTGATTTCCACTTCTTGGATGGTTACCTCGGAGTTTAACCATGTCTCAGCAAGGCGTAATACGTCAGGTCGCTGAGAGCTTACAAAGTCGTACAGCACATCGCGCTTGTTCATCAGACTGCATACATTAGTAAAGGCTACGCGCAGACCGCGGTAGGTACCGCTGGGCGCGCCTGAAGCATTAGAGACCTGTTGATCCGGATTCGTGAAGGAATCCGGGCAACTACCCGAAAATTTACAATTCGCAGATTGGATTCTCCATCCTCCGTGCGTCACTTCAGTTCAATTATAGCAGACTTGAGCTCTTCTCTGTCTGCCGGGTCTAAGTCAGCGCGCACGTGAATCTTTAGGCCCTTCAGCCTATGAAGACTGGAGTCGGCCGGTGGCCGAGTGGTCTGCACGTTTGCTTTGCAACCATAAGGTCACCGGTTCGAATCCGCGTAGGGGTGGGCGTCTTCGCGGTATTCTCAGCCCGCGCGCGACTGGTGGTGGTCGCGCGGTAGCGAAGCGCCGTTACGGCGTATAAGCTGACACATTTCTTTTTTTTCATGAAGACGGGACAAGAGTAACTTGGGACTTGCTTCCTCGACAAAAGTTACCCTCATAGGCCGACTTTTGCCCTCCATTCTTTTTCCTAGCTGGGCGATCTGCTGAACTTTGAGCCCGCCCTCATTTACATCGAGTTGTCTATCAATCAGTGATTGTAAAAACTCGACGTCGTGCTCATAGCGCACCTGAGGGTTGGAATCACCTGATTCAGGTGCGTGAAATATCATGAGGCTACGGCGCCTCAGGTCGTTAGACACTGCTCTTGGTTTCTTCGATGTTTGTATTTTTCATTCGTTATCGTCAATTTGTTTATTGCAAACTGGAGGTTTACTGCCAACTGAACATATTATCGGTCTTGAGGGAGATCTTAACGGAACTTTAGTATCTTGGTTCCGGGATGGACGCGATGTACTAGGGACTGGCTGCTTCTCTGCCTGTGGTGTAGCACAAGGCGGGCTGGCCTTTTTAGAGCATTTCGTTGTACTGGTCCACTTGCTAGACGTGTTGGTTCTATTCTGCGCAAGTTTAGCTGGGCACAGTTTACAAACGATCTTCAAAAATTCGTTCTGAATACCCTGGATTACACGAAATATGAAGCTTAACACAGCAGAGACTGTATGTAATTGCGTTAGCTCGATGCCCAACGACTTTGCAGCACATTCCACAAGGGGACTGCTTCGCCATTTCAAAAAGGGTGCCGATCGATAAGAGGAAATCAGTGTTATGAAGCGGGACAGAAGTTTAGATAAATTATTACAGGTAGTAATGTCGTAAAACGCCAAAGAATTAACTAGAGTGGATTACACACACCAGAGGACGAAACAGATATAATAATGATAACAACGAGCTAAACTTTACTTCAAAGGACACAAGCTAGATAACACTAGGGTCGACGAAACACTTAGTAGACAAAAAACCAGAAAATTACTGCAGTAATGGGTCTAAATCTATCACTGGATAATTCAGAATCAAAAATTATGCAGAATTATATAATTTCTGATCACAAATATCAATATCTGACACAAAAACTGGAATAAACTGGCCTGGGAGCGGAGCGGTAAATTTCAAACCGGATGATGATGATGGTGATGAGGATGATGATGATGAAAAAGGCTCCACGGATGGGGAGTGTTCCACTCACTAAGAGCGATTTCGCGTGTGGTTGGATGGTCTTGTATGGCCATTGCATGTGCACTTTTGACCATAATAAGTAGTTTGTCGACTCCAATTGCCGCAACGCTGTGAACAAAATCCCTGTGGCTTTTTGTACAGCTCCTAACTGGTTTATGTGAAAGATAATTGCATCAATTTTTATTTGTACCCATTGTTCAATTATTCATTTATTTATTCAGTAGCGTGTTTCCAAAACTCTGGCCTTAGTATTCATTTATACATTATTTCTTTTCGTCCGCTTCTCAACCAGGGTTATGGCCAGTGTTTGATGCGACGAATGGGCTGGAAACCTGGCTTGCGATTGGGACTTTCATCTTCACGAGGATTATTGTCACCTGTTGATACCAAGGGGAGCCTACCACCGTATACACGTACCGGCCTGGGCTACTACGGCCCTCGGATTACTAAACACTCTTTCGCTGCTCCAAATACAAGCGGTTCTGCTGCCGTTCGAACCGTCTACATTCGATCACTATTCGACTCGAGTGCTTACGCTGCATCCCGCTCTGATCATGGTCACGCTTTGAGTCTACTGCGCCGAAATGACCCAGATGAAGTTATCAAATATAGATCATTTCCTTCGATCACTACTCCTCAACAGTCGACTTCTACTACCTGTGTTGCCTGCTCTTCTGTCCCTTCCCTAACCCGCACGATTATTCTCAATTCCCGTAGCAATATGTCCAAAGAAGGCATCGCGTTTGTTTCTGGGGGGCTGCTTGCTAAGAATTGAGCGGGGGCCAAAATCTTGCACATTTACACTTTATCCCTCCTCATTAGTATTGGCCGTAAATGTATATACACTGGACTTTGTATATAAAAAACATGGTGTTTCAATTGCATACTCTGTATTCTTTCCTTGACCCACATCCCAGCATCTTCGCATTTAATACTGACGGATTGGATGTCTCATGCCATTTTCCTCAGTTCGAACCTTTATTTTTTTGCATAACAGCTATTGAGTGACATTGGAGATGGGTTCGAAGATTTTGAGAGGATGGCATCCGTCCTACTTTTGTTCTTCGACTCACTGAGTTAAAAGCGGAGTCGCATACATAATGTGATTCCGTACATGAATTCTCGGACGAGCCCATTTCCACATAAGCAATTGCCGAGTATTTCCAGCCGCATTCTAGAGGAGGTGAGGCACTCATTCCTTCACCGCGTTCACTGCACTGGTTTGCTTGCTTACTTCCATTTTCAGTCTCTTTTACTCTTGTTCCCGTTTCCAACTCCGTTCCGACGACCTCTTTTGGGATTGTATTATACCGGGCCTCGAGACTCACATTACTGAGCTTTCGAACACCCTTTAGTCCGCCAGCTCTTGTTCTGCTTGCCTTTACTGATGATTCAACCTGGAACAAATGCAGTGCAGAAGCGAGTTTTTTAACCATTGTTCACACTTGTATTTTTTCCATTAGCTTTTTAATCATATTCCTCCGTGGGGTACTTACGAACTCACAAGTAGTTCACGTTATTTGATCAACCGTGACCTGTGCTCCAAGGTGCTGATAATTTGGTTACCTCAACTTCAGTCACCATACTCTGATGTGTTCCGCGCCTCAAGTCACGCGGTTTTACAAGACTACTATCAGCTCAGAAATAAAAGCAAAACACGGTGCCTTAAGCAAAGCAATTCTTTTCGATTATTTCATCTTCAGACCTATACATTAATATCTGGTATGGGGAGGTTTGTCTTACTCGTCCGTCATAATAAGGAATCGGTTGGTCAGACAATGTAACTTTTGATCATTATGCCAATCACCACATGATTGAGGTCTAGTAGGTTTGCGAAATACAGTCATTTCTTTCCCGTCTGATGGTCGGTTAAAGCACTTGCAATGACTTATAAATTTCTTCTGAACACAAACAGGTCGGGACTCGTTGGTCGCATGCATATTGCTCCTGCAGTTTCAAGTAGGCTTGCTCTTACTCCATGGCTACGCTTAGACGACATTCTGTAGAGAACTTGAAAGGTAGTTCTTTATCTAGTGTCCGGATTTGGTTAGACTACTTTGGATCTTATCTGATAGACAATTTCATGGCCTATCCAACGCGACCAAATTCGGCTGCTGCACAACATAGCTACTAGTGCAAGTGTCTCACCGTCCATCGCATTCTGCGACCTGCTCGCAAACCAGTGTCGAACCGTTTCCACTTTGCTTGAAGTGTGCCGCTGCCCAGACTCGGTAGATAACCCGTACATCTGACGTCTTACCCATACTTGCGGTATTATTCTCGACCTTAACACTTGACGTGTCATCGAAAGCGGTACATTTTATCCACCAGTCCATACTATTCTTATCTGAACACGCATAGTTCTATGCCTTTAAGAAAACATGTTCCTCCATAGATTTCTCAAGGTCATCCCTAGCGCAAAGTACACTTACCAAGGTGAGCACTTAGATCGGCTTTGCTGTAAACAATAAGGGGACGAGTAGCATTCCAATGGTTCAACGTCGCCTATGTTGCGCAGACAACTGCAGTAAACTGCTTAAGATCAGTATTACCTGTTCTAGCTGCATTAGATCATACTGTCCGCAATGTGTAGGCAAATCTGTCCAAGAAGTGAGACAGACAAACCAAGTTGCTGACACAATTTGGTTTTGCCCTAACATGTCAAGTCATTCCAGTGGTCAACTGCTTATCTTTGCTCATGAAAAAATGCGATAGGATGACTGAAATAATCGCGCAATTTGTAAATACTAAGATCCCTCCCCCGGAGGTAAATACGGCCACGATAATATCTCACCCGGCCAAAGTAAGCTCTGAGTCTAAACCGAAGAAAAGAGCTAGACGCTCCAACCGCACTGCAGCGTCTGTGACTCTAAATCCACTGAGTAACCTCACTCCCATAAGTGGGCAAGCCTCAAACATGCCTGCTTCCACTTCTCCAACCATAGAGGCTGTAAAGTCCAAAAGGAGTTTTGATGTATCCCCAAACTGGATTGCTTACATGAGGACACTGTATCTCTTTTCCCTGATTATTTTGCACATCTACACTGCTTTTCTGTGTTTTACAAGCGGTTAACATATCGAATATTTATTTCTTACACTCCATCACTGACACATCCTTGAGGTTTCAAGGTCATTCTTATTATTATGTTACTGTGACACTGCCCAAATACTCGATCCGCCCCACGCTGGACAGTTTCTGCCCACTTGCATTACGATTGCGAAACCTATTCGTAAGTCATGTACTGTATTTATTATGCCTTATAGAAACACGGTTACAGGATAAAACGTTTTATTCTTCTGCCCAGACCGTGCGTTAAGTCTAGGTTTATCTGTTCGTAGTTTCTAGTTTAGTTTCGTACGACGTACTTAGTTTAGGCTTAGTGACGTTGGTACAGAGGCTTCACTTGGAGATTCATCCATGACGCCGACAGCTTAGAGCCGTAGGAAATCCGGTGCAGATAACAAGCAGGTAACGTACGCATCGATTGCCTCGACAAACACACCGGGAGGGACACACATAGGTCCATTTTCAGTACCGAGCACGCGTGGCCCAAAGCAGCTTTCACCGTCAACTCCAATGGTGTCCTCTAAACAGCGCGAATTGCCGGCAAAAAGTATAAAGCCAACACTCACTAGACAAAACCACGCTGCGTTAACTCTCGTGTGCACCAATGTTCCTGAATCCAAATCTGGAACAATAAAAGGCAAATTGCAAGACGATCGCAACCAGTGGAGTTCCATCTGCGAGGCAATTAACATTCGGGTTGAGCCTGCAATGTTGCAACGCGTAGCGCGTCACCCGACCTCAGTGCACTCTGGTGAACCTCGAATTCTTCGAGTAACACTAAACTCAGCAGATGAGACAGAGGCTGTCCTGCTCTCAGCAGCTCGTCTTCGTAACTCACCGAGCGGAGTACGCATATTGCCTGATCTACCTTGGAAAGATCGCCCAAAAGAAGCAGTTGACCAACGCGGCATTGCTAATAGAGATAGCAAGAGAACAATATTTGTTCATGGAGTTCCTGAGCTTCTGCATTCTTCTGATCACGATGCACAAACTCATGACCGAGAGCAGTGGTGCTACATCCGCGAAGCACTCTCTGTAGACAATGTTATTGCCAAATCCCTGACAAGAGTTCCGTCATCACCTAACTACAAGGGCTGCGGTCCAAGACTAATTAAAGTAATACTACACTCCGAGGGAATGACGCAAGTTCTGTTGGATAGCTGGTTAAAGTTTCGAGCTAGGCTGCCAACAGAGATCCGGCTAAAAGCAGCAGGCGAACAATCAAAAGTCGGAAGCAATTCAACGGAACTTGCAAACGCAGCAAATTCCTTATCTGCACAGTCCTGCGGAGAGACCAACACAACTGCGCCCACGGCACACAGGTGGACCGAGCACAGCACCAGTGAAACTTCTGTTCAGGAACGCTTAATAATGCCATGCAACACGACTGAAATACATAAACCAAAAAACGATTAATTGCCGGCCACCTAACGGCCGGCTTAAAAGCGAACACAAACTTGACATCTATCAATGAACTCCTAACAACAAAAGCCCTATCTTGCATGTATACAAACGCCCAAGGCCTTCTAAGCAAGTTGGCAGAACTTAGAGAACTCCATGCCTCACAACCGCGGGACCTCGTCATGATTACAGAAACATGGTTAAACCCTGAGATAACCGATTCTGAGATCAATTTACCCGGTATGTCACTGCTTCGGACCGATAGAACCGGAAGGGGGGCGGTGTGATTCTTTATTATAATACAAACCTCCGATGTGAAGTTATCGACCACCCGGAAATCCGAGCTCCCGATTCGCTTTGGTGCCGCCTATGGTTGCGAAACAAGGGCACATGCCTACTTGCCGTGATTTATCGCCCACCAAACTCAACTTCGGAAATGGACTCCAAACTGAACCACGTTTTCCAGTTTGCTTTGAACAAGTCCTACACCCACATTCTTATCGCTGGAGACTTTAACGTGCATGACATAGAAACGCCGGCAACCGATGGTATGCAGTTTAAAGCCTGCTTGCAAGAGCTTATTGCTAGCCACCCTCTTTACAACCACGTAACCTCTCCCACCAGATTTCGAACTGCTAACAAGCCGTCGATACTGGATCTTGTGCTAACTAACGAACAACTCATGGTTGACGGGGTAGTTACAAGCACACCACTGGGTCGTAGTGATCATGTTACTCTACTCTTTGATTATATTTGCTATGCGGAGTACCCTGAAAAGGAGGAGGATAAAGTGCATACTGTCACGCACTACAATGTGTTGTCTAAGCTTGTTAAGAATACATCTTGGACTTTCTTAACCGAATGCTTCCCAGATGTTGCCTGGGAAACATTTACAAGGACGTTTGGTACACTGGTAGCGCACGCATCAGGGAAGAAGTCCTTCCAACCTAAAAACAAGCGTAATTCATTTCTGAGGAGCAGGACACGTAAATGTATGTCCCAGAGGGATTTGGCATGGCGAGATCACCAGGACTGCCCGAATGCCGAAACCTGGACTGCATACGTGACCCATCGTAACTTCTGTGTGAAACTGATCCGCGAAGACAAGGTCACTCATCAGCAGAAGTTAATGAAGCGATTCTGTACGAATCGCAAACTCCTGTACAGGCACGTTAACGGCCTTCGAAAGGTAAAGCGGGGGATTCCAGCACTAGTCACGGCTGATGGGTGCACGCGATCAGCAATGGAAGCAGCTGCTCTTTTACGGCTTCATTACTCCCGAACTTTCCAGGAGGTAACGAGCACGAACATTCTCCTTATTTCTAATACTCCACCATCTGGTTTAGAAAACATCACCTTCACTGCGGAAGCTGTGTTGAAGAAGTTGTTATGCTTGCGTATCCACAGTTCTCCCGGAGCTGACAACATCCGACCAAAGGCTCTACAGGCAGTAGCTAGTGATCTAGCAGCACCACTGGCTATTTTCTATCAGCGATGTCTAGAGGAGAACCGTATTCCACCAGTATGGAAGCGAGGGGTCATCACTCCTATTCATAAAGGAGGTAGCCGCACTGATCCTGCCAACTACCGTCCAATAACACTACTTCCAGTACTATCCAAAGTGATGGAATCAATCATCGCAGATGCGCTGATGGAATACCTGGAAAGCCACAATTTAATAGTCCCAGAGCAACATGGCTTTCGTCAAAAGCATTCGTGTAATACTAACCTATTAATTGCACGTAATAGCTGGACTGAAGCTGTTGATGATGGAGTAGGGGTCGATGTCATCTACTTGGACTTTTCAAAAGCATTTGATCGCTTAGACCATCGCATTCTCCTTCACAAGCTTCGGAATTACGGCATTGGCGACCCAATCCTGAGTTGGATTGACAATTTTCTACAAGAACGACGGCTAGTGGTGAGAGT